ATTAGGCTACTTATCAATGAATTTATTCACTATAACAGGCGGCTGATTTGAAAATTAATTTCGGGTGTTTAGTAATTCAGTCTGACTGTTTTGAGTGCACTGACTTCTTTTTGATCTGTTCAACTGTTTGAACTACTTTGACTGTTTTAACTCTGTTCCATTTGCACCAACCCGATGATTTAGTTTATGTTCCGATATCAACTGTCAGTACTGAATTTACTGGACGTCGTTTCGATATTATTTTCAGTGCACTGGATCTAGTAGATTCATTACTGAATGAGCACAAGAGTACACTGTTGAAATCGGAACGGCAAATGATAGTAAAATCAGCACAGTAAATCCAGTACTGGCAGTTGATATCGGAACATAAGCTAAATCATCGAGTTGGTGCAAATGGAACAGAGTTAGAACAGTCAAAGCAGTTTAGACAGGTGAACACATCAAAAAAAGTCAGTGCACTTGGAACAGTCAGAGTGGAGTTACTAAAAATTAAAAATTAATTTTCAAATCAGCCTTTTTGGTATAGTCAATAAATTCATTGATAGGTAGCATAATGGAGTAGTTCGAATAGTAACAATCAGACCAGTGCAAACAGAACAGAGTTAGTGCGAATGAGACAGAAATTACAGCAATTGGAACACTTAGAGTGACTCAAACAATGGAAGAAATTCAAATAGAATAAATGCAGATGAAATCTTTAGAGTAATTTAAATCGAATTAGTACAAATGGAACAGAATTAGAACAGTCAAAGTAGTTCGGACGGTTGAACAGATCAAAAAGAGTCAGTGCACTTGAAACAGTAAAAGTAGAGTTACTAAAAAACCAAAATTAATTTTCAAAGCAGGCTACTGGTATGGTGAATAAATTCATTGTTTAGTAGCATATTAGAGTAGTTCGAACCGTAGCAATTAGAGCAGTGCAAACAGAACAGGGTTACTGCAGATAAAACAGAAATTAAAGCAATTGAAACACTAGGAGTCATTCAAACAATAGAAGGAATTCAAATAAAGTTTTTTTTTTTAAAGATAATTCTCCAAGTCAAAAATTTAGTAACTATGTTGGCAACACAAGCCTTTGACAATTTTACATTGTATTGCCAACAGAATGTCATTCTGACATTTATCTTTAAAAAAAAAACAGATTTTAGAATTATTACAGATGGAATGCTTAGAGTAATTTGAAACGAGTTAGTGCAAATGGAACAGAATTAGAACAGTCAGAGTAGTTCAGACAGTTGAACAGATCAATAAGAGCCAGTGCATTTGGAACAATCATAGTAGAATTACTAAAAACCCAAAATTAATTTTCAAATTAGCCTACTGTTATAGTGAATAAATTCATTGTGTAGTAGCATATTAGAGTAGTTCGAACAGTAACAATCAGATTGGAACATTTAGAGTAACTCAAACAATGGAATGGAAGTAATTCAAATAGAATTATTGCAGATGGATTTAGAGTAATTTAAATCGACTAAGTGCAAATAGAGCAGAATTAGAACAGTCAATGTAGTTCGGACAGTTGAATAGATTGAAAAGAGTCAGTGCACTTGGAACAGTCAGAGTAGAATTACAAAAAACCCAAAACCAATTTTTAAATCAGCCTACTGTTATACTGTGTTATAGTAAATAAATTTACTGATCAATGGCATAATGGAGTAGTTCGAACAGTTACAATTAGAGCAGTGCAAACTGCAAACAGAAGAGAGTTGAGTGCGGACGAAACAGAAATTGAAGCAATTGGAACACTTAGAGTAACTCGAACAATCGTTTTACTCCACTAGTCGGATATCGGATACAACTTAATAAATTGGTTCTCTTACTACTGGAGTACCTTTGTCTTTCTTTCTTAATAAGCTAGACAAGGATACAACATAACAATCACATGTATTGTTTACTGTCAATATGTCAGCTGATTGCTGCTGACTCACAAAAATCAAAATAAAAACAAAAATTTTCCAAAATTTGATTAACAAGCTATTTATATTTAATATTCCGATAAAGCTCCTGGGTGGGTGGGTCTCAGTTGTTGTCCAAAATGAACAGACAAAATACGACAAATTACGGTTCGATAAGAGATCCGGTTGTAGAAGTGGGATTCAGCGGAGGAGATAACAGGAACCAGCAGGACATGGTGTCCAGGGAATTTAACGTTTTGTGCGACGATATCGAGACGAATCTGTACACGATCAAGTCCAGCATCAAAACGTTACAGGACAGTCTCAAGAGTATCGGGACGGCCAAGGATAATACTGGGATCAGGAATAAAATGTAAGTACATTTTTCTAGTAAAAATTTATTTATTGAAATATACAGGGTGTCCGGAATAACTACACTCTATTTTTTCCCAAGATAGATTCTGACATTGTCAACTTTAAAACATAAACAATACCGCGTGGCTCTGATTGGTCGCAAAATGCCATGTCCTTGCAGGTGAGGTATCCTTTTACATGGTTGGAAAACGATACCTTCGTCGAATGCAGGTACACGCATCTTGCGACCAATAAGCAGCATTATTTATGTTTCAAAGTTGTCATTGTCAAAAATCTATCTTGGGAAAAAATAAACTGTAGAGGGCAACATCCCGTGATACTTTATCTTGTCCTCCATTAGCAATTTCTTGGTTCCCAACTCTGTATTCCTATCCCTATGTACCTATTCATATATATTCCTTTGTATTTGTATTCCTATGTATTTATATGTATTTCTTTGTAACAAATTTAGTCTGTTTTAAAAATAATAACTATTCGATTGCCTAAATAAAAAGATAGGTATATTACTGCTTGATTCAAAACCCTCAAAAAGAAAACAGTAAATAGCCAAATTTGCCCAAACCAAGTAAGTATACCGATATGTTCTGCCCAGGCCACTTTTTAAAATCCCATAAGGAAATATAATTATGTATCGTCAGGCAGGTATGATTGACACTGCCTGGTACGCTAAAGTGTGCATCAAGCATATACAGGGTGACAATTTGAAAAGTAGCAATCAGAAATATCTTTTATGGCTATTTGCACCGCTACAACTTAAGGGATTTTTAAACCCAGTGGAGCTTTGAATGTGACCCTTGTTATCTAATATTAATTTTATAAGGATACAGTAAAGTAATTTTTTATTTTTTTTTCGTTATGATGTCATTGTATGTGGAAAAATATACACTAGGTACTTTTACCTTACCCATTAACACAAGAACAGTAAAAACTCTTTTTTCATTTGGAAAAACCACAAAATCATTGTGTTTATTGTCTACATAAGAAACACTGCCGGCGAATTCTTATCAGTACAAATTCCAATTAAGGAATTTAAAGAATTTGGTTTGTTTACTTTCAAAGATAAAACAAAATTGGGACTGAATAAAAGTGATAATAATATGGAATTTTAGCAACGCCTAAGTGCTTGCTTAACAAATATGGGAGACCTCAGTTGCACTATTGCCCCACTGCTACACTTACCTTTAATAGTATAATCGTGTAACAAATGAGATCCCTCGTGAGATCCTAACCTATTTTGGCGTACGGCTTCCCCAGGGGACACCAATTACCAAAAAGAAATAATCAAATCTTGATTTGTTGCCCTGGATATCAGTGAAACGCAACTTCAATTGTTAAGAGGAAGTTATTGGAAACATCTACAGCCAAATGCTTAATGTCTAATACCAAACATGCTCAACTAGAAGTAGCTTACCAAAATTCCGATTTGAAGGACAGTTAGGATTAGGATCATAGCTTAGGTAATTATTATTTTTTTATAGCTTATTCCTGCACAATAGTCTACTGCAGAATGAGGAATATCAAAATAGATAAGAAAAGAAAGGTACAACTTGTTTAAATTACCCTGGTCCTTTTTTTTTTTACTTCAGTGATGATTCATCAATAAGGTATAATAATATTGAGATAAACAAATCCCTCCATCTTTACTTGCTAAAATGCACAAAACACCAATTTCAAATTGTTTCGAAAATACGATGAAAAACCTATCGAGAATGATCATTGTTTGTGTGGTTAAAATTGCCAAAACTACTTGGTGCAAAATATAATTTTTTCATGTAGGTACCCCTACCCACTGTATACTTTTTGTGCATCAGATAAGTACTGGTATTACTATGTAGATATATAACTTTTCAATCAATTCACATTAACCATACATCCAATTCAACAATGTCGAATGGACGCTTCATAGACATCTTAAAACAAGGTATTTTTTCTGAATGGGTCATATCGGGTTTTACGTGGTATTTTTTGAATCTGTTGGTTCATGTCATGGTCCACTACGTGACATCCCAAACAATTCATATTTTGCAACCTCTTTCCGACGTTGAATTTTGGTTAATCGACGTAAATCTATTTAAAATCAATGTCATAACGACTAACCTCTGCTGCTTGGGACTTGCTGGAAAACATCTTCGTGTATTTTAAATGTTTGAATGAGTTGGATCAGACGACTTTTTGTGCAATTTTGTTTTTGTATTAAAATTCTATTTGCCAACATCCTAACTTAGCCCTGGTTCATTCATCTTGAGATAAACTTGTTGGTAACTATCTGCAAGATAAATTTACAAATCTATAATCCTGTTGGTCAGCATTGGTTCATTTGTTTGTTCCCGGCACGGGTCAGTCGTTTTTGTTCAGATTATTGCAGGTGACAAAGAAAGAACAGATGTAAATTCGATGCACTTCACTATTTCGTGCGTCGCTTGAGCTCCCGTGACGTCATAGGGTGAGATGCGGTACCTTCATAGAGATATATCTTCGGTATTATTTGTCATAGAGGAGCGCGGTTTTCACTGATATTCTCAGATTTTTTTTATCTTTTTTTCGAGATAAAGTTGTTTTTTTTTGGCGCACACCCCCTTTAAGTATCTTTTGAAATTTAATTGTTTAGAGACACCTCAGCTTACCAATGACCAGTGTATCGTCAAAAGGACGTTCAATTTTGGACCAATTTGGTCTCATAAGACAAACAAAATAGAATGTCGTACTGAAAACATGTTTTGGACGTCCAGCCGACGACAGTCTTAGCGACATCTCACTAATGTCCTTCCTTATTATGTCGCATCAGTTTCTCAATACTTAGTTTGTTAATAGTTGTTGTGTTTCAAATATTGACAATTATGTGTTGTTATTTCTTATCCGTATGTACCTAATATCAACATATTTTGGTAATTTTGTTTAAAATATAAACCCTGAATTATTCTCCAATCTTAAAAGTCTTTTTGACGTTTCAAGTTGACCTTTTTGCCGTCTTAACTTGGTTTTTTCGATGTCTTAAATCAATAGAGCGAGTCCGAATTAGTCAATTAGTCAATCTAATGTTTGGCTCTGAATATTTTTTGGAATCTTGACATGCTTGACATGAATAATTGCTCATATCGTCAACGATATTTGAGAAAATGGCCTATAATTATGAATCATTAAAAAAAGTAATAAATTTTCTATGAGTCTTGCAAAATTGGATTCTGTAACTTGTGAAGCTTCTGGGGTATTGAGCTACAAACTCCAAAGAATAGAGAGTTCAAGTAAAGTAGAGTACTGCTACTACTAGTACTACTACTACTACTACTACTCAAAGATAGTCAAAATGACTAGTTTTCAAAATGTGCTTACTTTTAAACACCATTATCTCGAAAACTAATCGTACAATTCAAGATTTTACTATAAGACTGTGAAGGGAAAGTAACGAGCTATCCAACGATGTACTGTACAACACAAGGAAGGTGTTGCGCGCTGAGCTGGTTTTTAACCTAAGCTAAATGGTATAAGGGATAGGGATAACCATAGAGAAATATAATAAACCAAGGTAAGAGTACCTGATTGAAAACATGAAAGTTTGTATAGCGCTGACGTCACAGCGACGGTGGCGTCAATAGTGGCAGCCGGAACAAATACTGAAATGGCGGGAATTTTGAAATTTGACTTGAGTTCATTGCACAAAAAACTTACTTATGTTGTTCCACATCTTTGTTTCTCAAATCCGAATGAGAAAAATGATGTGGTACTTCATAAAGTTTTGTGCCATTTTTTGATGTAGATTAAAAAAAGAGGCAAAATAAACACTAAATTGTACTAGAAAAAATATATATTATATCTAGATAGGTCAAATACCTAAAGAGTTTACAAACACAGTTATTACATCCCTTATACATGCTTTAATGTATGTACAAGCTAAGCTGGCCAAGGCCTAACATCTACATTTTATCTCTTCTGACAGGTCTCCTAAAACAGTAAAAAAATATGCCGTATATCACAAAACTAACATGTATACTTACTGGTTCAGTTTATCCTAGTTGTACATAATATTATAGGTACGCGATACCGAGTGCCTTAATAAAAATAACAATTTCTTCTTCTTGTTCTTTAGATTTTGTGAGTTCGAGTCTTCTTAGACGACCGCCCAATCGGTTAAAAATGACAAATTTCAACACGGAAATGTCGTTATTTTAAGGTTACTTATTTGTTTTCTTGGTCACAGTTTCTATAGTTATGGATGTTTGATAGGTTTCTACAAAACAGCTAGGAAAGCTCTGTAACTCATACGGTGCCCTTGTCTTGTGAATTGGTATGACAGAGAAAGATGAAACAGAATCGAATGATCCGACTGATCTTTCGTATGTCTCTAGCTTTCCAAAAATTCCGCAATGCGCTATGCGCAACCGGATGCGCAGTAATAGTATAACCTATTTCGGCTATACTTTTGAAGGTCTTTTTATTTTTTATTGTCTATGGGGATAATTATCCCCTTGCGGGTGGCAATTACAACTTGGGCACAAAAGTCCTTGGTTTTCAGATCAGGTGACAGTTGTAGCGGCGTTTTCCTGCCCAATCAAATGAGGGATTGTTTTCTAGTAAGTCAGTGGGATTAGTGAAACTGATTTTGATTAGAGGCCTGATCCTTGAATTCAAAAGCGAGTTCAAAAGTATTCAAATTAATTTGTTGGTATTTAAAAGTAATTTAATGTGTAATTAGGTATTTAAATGTATTTAAGTAAATACAGTTTCTCAATTTGTAACCTATTTATGAAGTGGCCTCCCCCTCAGAGTGAACCCAAGCTTTTGCAAAAAATTCGCCAAGTTATGTTTTCGATTGATATTTGTCACCATGGCAGGAATTAGTTTGTTTTTTTAATAAAAATGTCTCGAATTTTTTTCCAAATCAGGGCACTTATTTAGGTATTAATTATTTCTGTATTAGCCCAAAGCCCACTGGGTTTTTGTCAGTATTGATATTGATGGTAGGTTTTTGTGTATGCCAACCATGTATACAGAGTGGTTTCAAACCGTTTATCGTTTATGGGCTGGTTTTTGATTTGTTGGTTGGAACATACTTTTTTTTTATAGAGGGGTTTAGAAAATCTATCAGACTGTCCCAGGCATTGTGCCATGAGGGTGCGTGATGGTGGTGTCCTGTTCTGAGGATCACCTACCAACTAAAACCCTTTTCCCTCTTTTCCCAACTACTTCAGAAATACCCTCTGTGGGCTTGCCGTCGAAGTAAAGTTTGTCTATGATTTATCCTTGACCGTCCCTTTTTTCTGCTGCTTTTATCCTCATTATCGCGTGTCTCATTTTCTTCTCATTTGGTCTAAGAGTGATTTGGTGGTCATGCCATCTATGTCCAGGTCTATTATTACTACATTCTCTGTACTAGCCATATCTGGCATATTGCGACAGTGTGCTCCACTGAGTCCACTTCTCCGCAGTAGACACATCTGTCTTGCCTATTCTTTGGGTGTACGTCCTGAAGGACCCGGGTCCAGTGAGTATTTTAGTGGTGAAGTAGTCGATGTGTCGGGGCTTGCAGGATAGCCATACGCATATATTCGGTATCAGGTGTTTGGTCCATTGTCCCTTTGCTGTATTGTTTTCCTACCTTGTTTGCCATATTTGAATCTTCCTGTCTTCCTCCATTTTTTTTTTCTCTGAACTGATTGGTCTTTCTTCCACTGTATCGATGCATGCTTGTTCTTGAGAGTCAAATTCAGTGGTGGTATCCCAGTAATAACCTGTAGGGCTACGTTCGAAGCGGTGTGATAACTGCACGCCACCCTCCCTCAGTAGGCCCTTTCTCTGAGTGTGCTCTATGATCTTCCAGTATTTCCCTATTGCCAGTGTCCTAGGTGTATAGGATTGTGGGCTGAATCACTCCGTACAGCATTTTATTTTCCTTTTAATTGTGTCTGGTACTTTTAAGTTTGGCATAAGTCTAGATAATGCTGTCATTTTTGTGGTCACTATTTTGGTTACTTCTTCCACGGACCACAAGTCTCCTAAAGGTTATGTCTCTCCCTATGCATATTCCCAGGTATTTGATTGCCTTGACGTGGGTTATTCGCGCGCCACCCAGGTTGAAAACTATGTTCTGTCTGTATCTTTTCCCACTCAGGATCACTGCCTCGGATTTTTCAGGGGCGAGTGCCAGCCTGTTCGTCCTCCTCTATATAGGGTTGCCAACCGTCCTGTATTAGGAAGGACGTCCTGGATTTCGAGTGATTTTAATAGATTTGTGCTTCGTCCTTCCGAGCCCTTAAAAAGGACGCATTTTGTCCTGGATTTTGGCCAGTTGCTCAAACAATAAAAAATAAAAGATGTTTTTACTATTTATTTACTCCTCTATCCGATACATTTTTTTTTTTTTTGAAATTCAAAATTTGAATTTTTTCGACAAAAAATAGCTTCGATTTTTATTTTTTAATTTTCAAAGCGTCCTAACTCGAAAACGAAAAGCTCGGGAGAAAAACTTCAAATGCAAAACTTATAGATCTCGTCGAGTACTACGAAAAAGCCTATAAGAAGTATCCCTCCACTGGGCACTGTTTTCGAGAAAATCGACCTCAAAAATTTTAACAAAATTACAAAAAATTTCAACTTTGACGGCTGATATCTCAAAGACGAACAAGGCCTGGAATCTCAATAAAATAACATTTTATAGGTAATTCCATTTTCTTTCAGCAAACAGTTAACGACACCCTCCATGACGGTGCAACACCATATGACCTTGATTCCAAAAATCGAGGCCGATGAGCAATCCTATAATAGTGTGTAATATCCTTGAGGGAGAGCAGGAACAGTATTGCGCTGTTGCTGAATCTTATTTTTTTTGCTGGATATGAGAATTATTTTTACATTTTTTTTTTGTTAAATGCGGTTTTACCCGGAGAAAACACCTAGTAATCCGGAGCCCGAAAACCATATGTGAAAACCCGGAGAGGTGGCAACCCTAGATAGGGGCTAAAACCTTTCCGATAAGTCGTAGAAGGCTAAAACTTGAAATTTGAACTTTTTCAGACCCCTTTTACCTGCATTCCAAATTTCGTCCGAATCGGCCCCAAAAAGTTTCGTAAACTCGTCAGCAAAATCCAAGGGGTAAACCACCACCCCAGAATTGGTGCAAACAATTCCTCAAAGGGGAATTTTTTACGCATAATTTCTCGAAATTCCTGCAAATTCCTCCAAATTCCTCCCATATACTCCATCACAAATTTCTTCAAATACCCTACCACGAAGTTCTCCAAATACCCCACAAATTCCCCTAAAGAAAAGAAAAATTTTGAAACTTTTTGCATGTAAAAAGGAAGGTGAGAAAATCATTTTCCCAAAATTTAAAATTTTTACAATGGAAAACAACAACATGAAAAATCTTGGAAATCAACCTACACAAACTGAATTAGTTGAAAAAACAGTCTCCCACATTTCAAAGTTTTCCTGGAAAACTAGTGAAGGGAACATTTTGAAACTTTTTGCATGTTAAGAGAAAGGTTAGAAGCTCATTTTCCCAGAATTTCAAATTTCTCCAGTGAAAAATTACAACATGAGGAATCTTGGAAATCAACCTACAAAAACTGAATAAGTTGAAAATACAGTCTCACACATTTCAAAGTTTTCCTGGAAAACTGGTGAAGGGAAAATTTTGAAACTTTTTGCATGTAAAGAAAAAGGTTAGAACTAGAAGCTCATTTTCCCAGAATCTCAAATTTCTCTAGTAAAAAATTACAACATGAGGAATCTTAGAAATCAACCTACAAAAACTGAATTAGTTGAAAATACTGTCTCACACATTTCAAAGTTTTCCTGGAAAACTAGAAAAGGCAGAAATTTGAAACTTTTTGCATGTAAAGAGAAAGGTTAGAAGCTCATTTTCCCAGAATTTCAAATTTCTCCAGTAAAAAATTACAACATGAGGAATCTTAGAAATCAACCTACAAAAACTGAATTAGTTGAAAATACTGTCTCACACATTTCAAAGTTTTCCTGGAAAACTAGAAAAGGCAGAAATTTAAAACTTTTTGCATGTAAAGAGAAAGGTTAGAAGCTCATTTTCCCAGAATTTCAAATTTCTCCAGTAAAAAATTACATGAGGAATCTTGAAAATCAACCTACAAAAACTGAATTAATTGAAAATACAATCTCACAGATTTCAAAGTTTTTCTGGGAAACTAGTGAAGGGAAAATTTTGGAACTTCTTGCATGTAAAGAGGAAGGTGAGAATATCATCTTTCCAAAATTTCAAATTTTTCCAATGGAAAACAGCACATGAAAAATCTTGGAAATCAACCTACAAAAACTGAATTAGTTGTACACACATTTCAAAGTTTTCCTGGAAACTTAGTGAAGGGAAAATTTTGAAACTTTTTGCATGTAAAGAGGAAGGTGAGAACCTCATTTTCCCAAAATTTCAAATTTTTCCAGTGGAAAACAGTAACATGAAAAATTTTGGAAATCAACTTATAAAAACTGAATTAGTGGAAAATACAGTCTCACAGATTTCAAAGTTTTCCTGAAAAATTATTGAAGGGAGAAATTTGAAACTTTTTGCATGTAAAGAGAAAGATTAGAAGCTCATTTTCCTAGAATTTGAAGTTTCTTCAGTAAAAAATTAAAACATGAGGAATCGTGGAAATCAACCTACAATAACTGAATTAGTTGAAAATACAGTCTCATATATTTCAAAGTTTTCCTGGAAAACTAGAAAAGGGAGTAATTTGAAACTTTTTGCATGTAAAGAGAAAGGTTATAGACGCTCATTTTCCCAGAATTTCAAATTTCTCCAGTGAAAAATTACAACATGAGGAATCTTGGAAATCAACCTACAAAAACTGAATTAGTTGAAAATACAGTCTCACACATTTCAAAGTTTTCCTGGAAAACTAGTGAAGGGAAAATTTTGAAACTTTTTGGATGTAAAGAGGAGGGTGAGAAGCTCATTTGCCTAAAGTTTCAAATTTTTTCAGTTGAAAATAACAACATGAAAAATCTTGGAAATCAGCTTACAAAAACTGTATTCATTATTTTTTTGAATTCTTTAAATTTGACAATTTCCTCTAAATTTCTCATAAATTCCTCACAAATTCTTCTAAATTCCCCATAAATCCATCCAAATTTCCTATAAATCCCCCAAATTCTCATAAATTCGGATGAGTTCCTTCAAATTCTCCACAAATTCCTCTAAATTTCCCACAAATTCCTCTAAATTCTCCACATTTTTGGCAAAGAATTCCTAGGTGGTTTGCCCCTTGGCAAAATCCTCTGTTTATTGTCGACCTCGTTGCGCAAAAACTGCATTAGATTAGTCAATCTAGTCATCGAAGAACCATTTACACTTTGTTGGGAACCGGTAGGATTAGTATTGGCTAGAGATGAACGTTACCACACCCTTAACAAATTTCTTTTACAGAAAGAAATCTTCAATGAAATAAAAATTCAAGTGCCTGGAATAATCAAAAACTGATACTAAAGAAATGAGAAATAATTGAAAAAAAAATTAGAAAATGGTGCCTTATCCTGTCTTGATTGTTTCACAATTTAAATTCCTCCTCCTCCATTGAAAACCATGATTTCTCAGAAAAATAATGGAATATTTACCTAAAAAATTGATAAAAATTGAGACAAAGAAATGAGAAATAATTTTTAAAAAAAGTTGCCTTTTCATGTCTTTATTGTTTCACAATTTATTCAAATGTTCTGTCCATTAAAAACCCACAATTATTTCTTTCCAGCCACATCACCCAGCTCAGCGCCAACCAAATAGCATCAGCCACAACCAGAGACTTAACGAAACTCAGGCTCATAACCCCTAGAAATGACAAGCAGCGCATCCTCCAAGTCGACAAACTGGAAAGCGACTTCAAAGAAACAATCAGCCGCTACCACACTTTACAAAAAGAACTGGCCGACAAACAAAAATCCAACCTGCTTTTGGCCACAAACATAGACAGCCCTGGATCCGAGGGCGAGGAAAGCCCTACAATCCAAAGACAAATGCAACTGGCCCGAGAAATGCAATTCGAACAAGAAATGATGCTAGAGAGAGAAGAGAGAGTTAAGCAAATTGAAGGAGATGTTTTGGATATTAATCAGATTATGAGAGAGTTGGGGTCAATGGTGCATGATCAAGGGCAAACTGTTGGTAAGTAGTTAGTTGATGTATAAAATTGATTGTAAATTTGATTAACTTTTTGCATAGATACAATTGAAAATAGCATCGATCATGCTGTTGGCAATGTAGAAGAAGGCACTGAGCAATTGATTAAGGCTTCTGGATATCAGAATAGTTATAGGAAAAAGTTGTTAGTTTTAGTTATTATTGGAGCCATCATTGCTGCTATTATAATAGCGGTACTTGTTAGTGAGCTAAAGAAAAAGTAATTGTTATTAATTGTGTTTATTATAGGTATATTGTAATTAAGTTTTATATTTTATTTATTTGTTTGCAACAACAAGATTATATTATTGCTTGAAGAATGCGTGTTTTACTATTATCATTAACCGGAAACCAAAAATGTGCATAATAATTATTCAATCTAAAAATAAATTTATAGTGTATCCAATTCAATCGTTATTAAAATGTCTGAGGATGATTTATTTGAAACTATTGATGGAGAAATATTCAATATGAACGCAATTATTAGAAGGTTGGAGAGTTTTTTGAAGTTTTTGGGCACTAGTAAGGATAATGAAGGTTTAAGGGCAAACATGTAAGTGCTAATTAGATAGAGTCATAATAATACTCTTATAACTTTTTTCAAGCAATAAAAATCACCAAGACATGAAAGGCCTTATTGCACAAGTGACCGGCCAATTGAAAAAATTGAAAACCGATTTTCACACACACAATAAATTGGTTCAGATGCAAATTGAGAAAATTGAAGAGATTTTTGTGGCCGCTTTGAATAAATATGATAAATTACAACAGGTATGTGTCAAAGATTTCTCAGTTCTAAAAGTATTCGAAAAGCTCCAAGGTACCCAAAGTTGCTTTTAAAAGCATCTGAAGCAACTTTCAAACTATCTGAAATCCTGAACTTTACAAATTTAGAAATACTAGCTTCAAAAAGTGTCTAAATTCTGGATCGATTTCCAAAGAAAGCATAAAATTTAAAACTTGTTGATATACAGCAGCATTCTGGGTGGTGTCATATTTTGATATTTCGGAAATTCTGAATGATTCCGAAGATATCCATAAAAAACCGAATTTTGCCAAAATTGTTTTTATTTTTTTCTGACTTTATTTGAAATAATATCGTAAGATAAACTTCACATTCTCATTGCCACTTTTCCTTCACTACATGATAATGTTATTAGATTTTTGATCAGACGTTTCGTTTCTTCGCGATCATCATAAACTTTGTTTTTAATAAATTCTACGTTTTATTCCTAAATACAACGACCTCCGCGATTTCCAGACATTACACCGATGGATTTTATCTTTTGAGGATTCCTTGAGAATAAAGTAAACTGACCTTTCAAAATACATAGGTGTAATGTCTGGAGATCGCGGAGGCCTGTTTGTTAATGGGACCACTAATTAATGGGACCACTAATGGCAATTAATATTCCTGGAATCATTAGCTTGATATATCGTTGGCTTAAGAATAAAAAGTAGAATTTACTAGGCATAAAATTTCGATTATTTGAAAAAAAAAAGTTGATGATAATCGCGAAGAAACGAAACGTCTGATGAAAAATTCAATAACATTATCATGTAGGTAGCGGATAAAAAATGATAACGATGAAGTAATATTTATTTTGCGATATCATTTCAAATACAGTCAGAAAAAAGAAAAACGGCAAAATTCGTTTTTTTATAGATATCTTCGGAATTTCTGAAATATCAAAACATGATGCCACTGAGCTCAGTAATGAGCAAATTTTCCCAAATTTAACCATCCCTGTATCTATGATTACGGAGATCCCTGTAGCAGTGCATCTTTATCGGAGAAACCCTGTATAAACTTAAATTTAAGTAAAAGTTAGTCAGAATCTTTACCTATCAGAAGTACAAAAAGGTACCATATTAGGTAGGTACTGAGTATTTTTTTATAGGTATAATAATAATAATGCTTTATTGTCAAAAAAAATTATTGCATAATTTGTAGACTGTAGACAAAGCCTTAAATTTAAAAATATATAATATTATATATCTACATCAATACATCTACTTGTATACAAAGTCAAAATGAAATGATATAAAATAAACATAAACAAATAAGTATAAAAATGAACAAATTACCTATAAACAAATAAAATATACCTGACAAATAACAGCTTAAACTAAAGCTTAAACATCAGAAATGTAGTGGTCGACAAATCTTTGCAAGTTTTTTTAATAATTTACATTGTTGCTGTTCCCATTTGGAATTATATTATAAATTGTGGGTGAAAGATATTTAAAGGACTCTTAAAAGACCTGCAGCCTAGGCAGTGGCACTTCCAAGACATTGTGTCTATTTTGTGAATATCTCCAAAGCTTACAAGCAATTCCTTCAAGTATTGAGGACGGTTATGCTGCATGACTCTAGAAATCTCTTTGCCATATTCAACATTCAGGATTGGACGAACTTTTGGAAATGGGCCGGGAAATTTCAGTCTAGCGGCCCATACATTGATGGATTTATGGGGCACATTCCCACACTTATATTATGTGATGTAATAATATAATAACAACACTGATAAAACAAGAAATGCTAAATGAAAACGCACAATAAAAAAATAAAAAATAACTCTTATCAGAATAATAATATGTATTTTCTTAAAATATTGTCGTATCTAGGATAATAGGGCATGCATTTCCCTTCGGTTAATTAAACCCAATCGTCTTCCAAAAGAGGTTCAGGAAAATCATTGATCACGTTACATTTAAATAACATTCCGTTGCAAGTTGAACGAATTATTGAATTATTAATTCGTACGTACAAGGAACCCAAACCCATGGAAGGTCAATGTCAACGATAGTTCACTGGTAATTATTATAATTAGCGATCACGCACCATGGTCGCTTGATTAATATAAAATAATGGTTTTTGGTGGGGGGTCAAAATATAGTGAATAACCCTGTACCTACGTTCTCAAGCCTTACCTATATGCTGTGCAAAATGTCTAACAGCCGTATGCAACATCCTTTTTTAAATAAAAGTCATCTTATGATTATTGACTTTTGAGAAAATTTTCATGAAAATGTTCAACCTGAACCCCATATTGTCGTATCTAGGATAACAGGGCACCTCCCTTCGGTTAATTAAACCCCTCCATCTTCCAAAAACCATTATTTTATATTGATCAAGCGACCATGGCGCGTGATCGCTAATTATAATAATTACCAGTGAACTGTCGTTGACATTGGCTACATTCACCAGAACCAAAACGGGTTGTAAACAATTGACAAATACCATTGAGGTACAATAATAATGGAGGCGAAATGACGAGACAAACGTGTACCCAGTTCCGCCATATTGTGAGTGTTCTTCTGTCTGAAAGTCTGTCACTTATGTCATAGCAACGTGACAGTAATGCATCAGGGCCGCATTTTCCATCCGGAGATGTTCTACATACGAAAAATTTCTATTTTGGGTCTTAGAAGGATCTTCTGTTTCAGTATGTTGAAGTTGAAGCGTTTACCAATGTTGGTATCTGGTGAACGCGGCCATTGACCTTCCATGGGTTTAGGTTCCTTGTACGTACGAATTAATAATTCAATAATTCGTTCAACTTGCAACGGAATGTTATTTAAATGTTAGGTACGTGATTAATGATTTTCCTGAAGCCCATGAACCTCTTTTGGAAGACGATTGGGTTTAATTAACCGAAAGGAGATGCCCTATTATCCTATTTACGACAAGATACCTTCAAACCATAGTCTCAGATCAAAAAGGATGGCGTCGATATTATGAAAGCACAAAGAATGGTTAATTCAACTTATGACGCAAACATGAAAAAAGTATGAAGTCCTAAGAATGTTTGACAATTGGGCAAATAAAGGACTGGAAACTGGAAGCAAATGAAAGTGATGTAATAATTCAAGATTCATTGCCCGCAATTCGTTCTCATAGAAAAGAATATGCCGGGGCTATTTTTACTTTATGTACTTGTTATATAAATAGCTATTATTTGCTGTATAATTCCAACTTTATAATCAGCTATTGATGTTCACTATGTTCGCCCCAGTAAACATTGCTACGTAAGCTAGGTAAAGTTAAGGTAGAAATTTACGTAACTATTATATTAATAAGTCACAATAAGGTAAAAATTTAACTTAAATGTAACGAACAATGTCATGCTCAAGTAGATGTGAAATTTATATCACATTGGAGGTAACAAAGATTTGCATTTCTGGCCCTAAATGTATTCATATGTATGTATTCCTTTTGTATTCTCATATGTATTTCTATGTACCTATTCCTACGTATTCATGTATTCCTTTGTATTCTCATCGTATTCCTAATGTGTGTGTTTTTTTTTAAAGATAAAAGTCAAAATGACATTATGTTGGCAATACAATGTAAAATTGTCAATGCTTTCAATTTTTTTATGTAGAAAAGGCTTGTGTTGCCAACATAGTTACTAAATTTTTGACTTGGGGAATTATCTTTAAAAAAAAAACAGACTTTATTTCCTATGTATTCCCTATGTATGTAATTCACTTGGTAATTCACAGTGTTGCCAGATGGATTTTTTCGCCGACAGTAGATTGGGATAAAAATCAACAGTAGATTTGTTTGCTTCAACAGTAGATAATTTTTAGTTAATGAATTTTTTGGTAATATTTTAAATATAAAACAAAAATAGAGTTAATTTAGGAACATAAAAATATACCTATTATGTACAATCAAAAAAGTAAACATCTCTCCTAGTACGTTCGGCTAGTCACTCCCGCAGAGATCTGTGACGTCACCGCCCAGACGAGGAGCGCTCAGGGTCCCTATTCTTGAGGTACGCATATTCATTTTTTGCCAACGCAACTGATATTCGGCTAAATTCGTGCCCTGCGCCGTGAAGCGTTAGCAGATAATGAGCATCGCAACCAGACGTTGGCACTTCATGTGACTGTATGTTACAAGCATTTTATTGATAATTAGGTTCCATAATAGTTATTTATGTATCAAGGGTACTAAATAGAGGATTATGCCCTGAGGGCGACAGTCTTACAAAGCCGAGGGCCTCTGGCCCGAGGGTTCGTAAGTCGCCCGAGGGTATATATCTATTAGTACCCGTGGTGCATACAAACTTTTATGTCATACCAGTTGGTTTTGAATAATAAATATATATTTTTGTAAATAAAGAATAAGTTAATCGAAAACTGTTTTTTGCGTCTTATTGCCGCGCGGGCCAGAATGTTCACTTTATGCCCGCGCGGGCCATAATGTGCACTTTATGCCCGCACGGGCATAAAGTAATGAATTATGGTAGATGGTATCTAAGGTATAAAAACACAATAATGTACTGGTATGACATAAAAGTTTGTATGCACCACGGGTACTAATAGATATATATACCCTCGGGCGACTTACGAACCCTCGGGCCAGAGGCCCTCGGCTTTGTAAGACTGTCGCCCTTAGGGCATAATCATCTACTTAGTACCCTTGATACATAAATAACTATTATTAATAGGAAGGGAAGATTAAAGATAAGAATTTTATTTATATGAAAAATTCAGCTAAAACAATGGCATGATTATGTTAGATAAAACTACCGATGTCTTTGGAACTACCCGATGGACCTTTTTATACTATCTTATAGATTGTGAGCGAAAAAAAAAATTGAAATAATAAAACCCAAAAGGTAGAAATTGAGAAATGTCGAAAATATTGACTCATAATATTTATTCAAAATTTAATAATACATACACGCGCTCTATTTTATATGAGCGCCCTTTTTTCGCTATTTTATCAGGTTGATAGGAACAGAGATTGTGTCGCA